TGGGTGCCCAGAGCAGCCGTCCTTCCCGCCCCGTGCTCGTGCAACTGGAGCAGACCACACGGACCACTACTCGGAAAACTAAAGCAGCATCTTTATTTTATACATAACAACCGGTATAAAAAGTTTATTACATAAGAGCTGTTTTGTTTACAATATATTATATCGCTTCAAGCCAATGCAAAAAGTTCATACATTATAGTTCTACTTTGTTTACAATATATTATGACGCTTAAATGGCGCTACTGCAGTGTATTTTTAATACACAGTACTTGAAAGGCCAAAAACTGAAAGACCAAAAATACTGTTGAATTGAGTTATTCTGTTTTTAAATTAGGTAATTCTTATTTATTTTATTTATTTTTATTAAGGCAAAGTCTAAACACACCATTGCAAAAATGTAGAAGACATCTTGCCTTTATCTTAAGCAAGATAAATCTGTAGTCATTGAAATGATTCGGGTTAGCATCTACGAGATTCTCTCCTGGAATATTGTTACCTAATTTTTGGAAAATATTTGCAGCTATATAATCAAAAATGGAAGTTTAAACATAACTGAAATATAGTACAAAACATCATCCAAAGCACTGAAAGAAGAAGGCTATATAATCATGCTATAGAAGTATTTATAAAACATAAAAGGAATAGCAAATATCAGCTCAGTGGTTTATAACGAAGCTAATAAAATTCCAGCCAGTAATCTTAACTGTAACGAACAGCGTTTTACCATTCAACCCATGAAAGGTTAATGAAGGCTATGAACTATGTGTAACACAAACTGTTTCAGATGTCTGAGTTCACCAGATATAATTGGATTCGGGTGGCACATGCCTCTCCTCAGGCTTTTTCGGGGAAGGCGTGTGCTGCCGGTGCTTGGGGCCTGCCGGCCTCAGGGCGCTCAGGATGCTGGCTCCGTACCCTGCAAAATTAGCCAGCTCAAGCGAAAAGAAACCACAGAAGCAGGCTCGCCGGTCCCTACTAATATTGCAAGCGGAAACAGTCCCCCCCATCTGAGCAAAGAACTGAGATAGGTGTTGCACAAGCGCTCCCCCTTCCGCCTCCTCTCTCCTGCCCCCGAGAAAGACTGACGTGCTGTGAGACGGGAGTTACCCCTGGAAAGAGGCAACCGCATCGCCCGCCTTAGCGGAGACCTGAGCACACGCGAGCACACTTTGGCCGTCGGACGGCCCTGCTTTCGCACACGCGCAGCTCGCACGTGTTGAGCCACGCGCATCTGCCGG